TAATAATAATAATAATAATAATAATAATGATATTTTGTGTACAAGGGCATTTATGCCTTTTAAACATATATTCTATTCCTATTCCTTAACCAACCAAACATTGGAATACAGTTCCCAATGTCTATTCCTTGAGCGAACCAAACAACAGAATACAATTTCTATTCTATTCTTTACCTATTCCATTCTTTATGGAATAGCATTCCTATTCCCTCCAAATTGATTCCGTGAACTAAACGGGCCATTAGTGACAATGACTCAAAGTGATTGGACACAACTTAATTATGAGAGGTCGATCAACAAAACGTTGCCCCAAGAGCATTTGATCTCTCAAGAGAGGCTGACCAAACTCAGCCGAACAATCTTAAATTTTCGAGCTAACTGTCCCACATAATAGAGAGTACTTACAATTCAACGAGGAAATTAAGCACTATATTTGATGATGAAAATTCTGAATACACCAAAAAAAAAAATAGCAAATCTAAATCCAAAGACTAAATATTGTAGACGTAGTGTTTTGTTAAAAAGATGAAGAATCATCCATTTGGGAAGAATATTTGGAGAACAATAATCATTAAAATAATAATAGTATTCAACAATTGAGAAATTTAAATCATAAAGTTAAAAAATTAGGTAGGTTGTGAAAGCATATATAAACATATACTACATGTAACGGGGTCAAAGTACTAAAAAATAATTCACAAAGTAAAAAAAAAAAATTAATAATAATAATAATAATAATAATAATAATAATAATAATAATAATAATAATAAGAGAAAATTTTAATTTTGGTCACACGACTATAGAGGCTTTGTTAATTTTAGCAACTAACTTTCAAAAGTGTTAATTTAGTACCTTGAGTATGAAAATTTTGTCAATTTTAGTCACTCCGACCAAATTATCGGCTAAATTTGGCTGGAAAAATTTAACTCAATATTTAGTCTAAAATCTTGGGGGCAAAGTGGTATTATCTATGTTTCTCCTAATACTCTAGAACACAGGACTGGTCTAGAGTATTCTCCGGGGTGTGCAACACCTTTTAGTAGGTCTTGTGTGGTGCTTCTCCGATTATCTCTGCCGGAAAAAATTTCGTGTTCTTGTGGTGGAAATCCGACGGCCACGCTCGCGTTTGAACTCCCGTTCATACAACGTGAGTTTAATCGATCCTGAAGCTTTCGCCGGCTGTTTTACGACTCATTCCAGGTGACTGTCATTGGTGAATGGAATCCTTGGAAAAAATGCAACTGTGTAACCTATGTGTGGTAAGTTTTCTGGTTACCCTCTCTTGCGCATTTAAATTCATAACACCGGATAACTCGCATGTGGAGACCGGTCGTGAGCTTTAACCGGATAACTCGCCTATGGAGACCATTTTTCTTTCCTCTTTGCTTTTGGTTGGTTTTTCTGTGTTCCTACTATGGCTTCTCGTCGTCAATCGATGACTGGAGGGTCGCCGCTGACCGGTGGTTGTGCGGAAAAGGTGCCGGGCTTCGGTTCGGCGGGGATGAACACAACTGGTACTCAGTTTGGGTTGTGGGAAAATATGTTTTCGAATGGTAATGGGAATCAAAGTAGTCGGAGGTCCGTTGTTCCATCGGTCTTGACTGCCCCTGGTCAGCATTTGTCTTATGGGAATCAATCGTCAACCGGAATAAGTGCGAACTACAGGTTGGTCAACGAGATGGGTCAGACGATATCTGGTCTGGTCTTGGCCAGTCAAACAGGTTTACATGTTACTCCTCTGGTGTCGTCTGGTTCCCCTGCTGTTGCTAATGGTGTTCATCAAGCTGTAAACTCTGATCAGTGTGGGAGTAGTGAACCTAATGTTTCTCGGACTATTGGCTCTGTTGATACGTTCTCTGCTGAAGAAGTTAATGAAAGAGATGAAGTTTTTAGTACAAAAAGAAAGGTGTGGGTCCCTAAGAGAAATATTAACAACACACATCAGAACCAGCCCGGAGAGTACTCTAGACTAGTCCACAACCGCCGGCGGAAGGGAACAACGTCAACAAAGTAATTCCGTCAACACCAATTATGAGAAAGGATCGAAAAGACCATTCTGCCCCCAAAATTTTAGACTAAATGTTGGATTAAATTTTTCCAGCCAAATTTGGCCGGCAATTTGGTCGGAGTGACCAAAATTGACAAAAATTACATACTCAAGGTACTAAATTGACACTTTTAAAAGTTAGGTGCTAAAATTAACAAAGCCCCTATAGTCGTGTGACCAAAATTGAAATTTTCTCTTATTATTATTATTATTAGAGAAAGAGTTAATACCCATTTTGGTCCTCTGACTATTAGCTAATACTCGATTTAGTCCCAAAGTATTAAAAGTACCTAATTTAGTCCTCTAACTTTTAAAATGGTACTCAATGTGGTCCTCCGTTAGAATTTCCATCTATCCACCGTTATTTTGAAGGGCATAAGTGTCATTTTAGTTCATAAAACACATTTCTTCCTTAAATGAAGTGACAACATGCTCACCAACAGAGTAGGCGCAATCTCATGGAGCGAAGTAGAGACCAGTCCACCATGCTCAGCACCTCCAATAAACGCCGGGTTGTCGGCTGAGCCTCCACAACAAGACCACAACCACCACTCTCAGTGGCAAGTGGTGCCGACTCCGGGAACGACCCATCCACAGCCACCAGCCCCCCCCCCCCCCCCTACGAACTACCAGCCATTCGCAATCCGAGACCACGAGACGTAGCATCGCCAGTGGGCTATGGTGTCACCAGAGGGCCGACGATTTGGAAATAAGTCAGACGAACAGGAAGACGCCACCACACCGAGGCCCACGCCATCGCATGTTCCATTGCCAAACTCCTCTGTACGCCGGGAACTCGCCGATCGCGTAACAAAACTCAAAAATTCCAGCGACCTCCAATCAACAATCCGAGCAACAGGGGATGTTCTCGATCCTTCCATATCACCAATAGCATCCTCCGATTGTCCATGCAGTGGCTCGATCGCTGGAGGGGCCTCCAACGACGTTAACCAGAGGAAGAAACGGGTTTGGACCAAGTAAATTGACTTCTTTTCACTCAAAATAACGGTGGATAGACGAAAATTGTAATGGAGGACCACATTGGGTGTGATTTTTTAAAAGTTAGAGGACTAAATTGGGTACTTTTAATACTTTGGGACTAAATCGAGTATTAGCTAATAGTCGGAGGACCAAAATGGGTATTAACTCATAATAATAATGAGGTAGTGTTGACACAACCATGTTGAATATTGGAAAATTCATTCCAATCTTCGACTTCCGGGGCAATTTATATCGTAGACCAGGGTCTACATAGCATTGTGGACCTTGGATAAAAAACATTGTTTCGATATTTAAACTTTAACATATTCTATATTTTCTCGTTTCTCATGTTCAACATAAATTTAATTTATTTTTGGTACAGAATTAATACGCTTAAGGTACATAATTTCATAGTACGAGACACAAAAACTCACAACACAAACACATGCACATATATTTACTAATTCTCAAATCTGATTTATGTAGATAATATATGTCCTATAGGCACATAATTTCATAATATAAGACATAAATTCGTAAAATAAGACACACAATATGTTGTATGTTACACAACTACTCATCTATTTCAGGTACAAAATTCATAAGCTTAAAGTACATAAATAATTGTAACATGAGACACAAAAACACATAACAGAAGACACATACACATGTTTTATATATTTACTTTAGTTCAAGTCTATAATCAATATTCTTAAGGTACATAGTTAAATAACACAAGACACAAAAACACATAACACAAGGCACATAAGCGCATATTATATTTACTTTATTTCATGTACAGAATCAATACACTTAATATACAGAATTACATAATATGAGATACAAAAATACATAACACAAGACATATACACATGTTTTAAATTATTTTTTTTTAAAAAAAAAAACTTGTAACATGAATTGAATAACAAACGGTCGGGTCAAAATTAAAATTCAAAACTACATCGATATACGGTATAACGATTGGACTTCCAGAGTTCTGGCCAAGGCTGGATTTTCCGCAAATTATGCCGTGGAAACGTGTTCACCATGCTTTGTGAACACGTTCCAAAACGACGTCGTTTTCCACGAAAAAAAAATAGTTAATGTGCTGTTAACGACGATTTGCATTCTATGTTCAGATTATGAATTTACATTTATTAAATTATGAATTTTCTGTTATGAGATTATGAATTTACAGTTATATAATTATGAATTTTCTGTAAATTCATAATCTCATACCAAAAAATTTATAATCTCATAAAAGAAAAAACATTTATTAAATTATGAATTTTCTGTTATGAGATTATGAATTTATAGTTATGTAATTATGAATTTTCTGTAAATTCATAATCTCATAACAGAAAATTCATAATCTCATAACAAAAAATTCATAATTTCATAACTTCGCATTCATAAATTCATGTCTGCACATTCATAATTTATGAATGTTGAAGAAGTTTGTGCGAAGAGAAAGTAAAACCGCGAAATGTAAAAATAAAGAAGAAAAGTCGCGCTATTAATTGAAAAAAAAAAAAAAAAAAAAAAAGATTAACGATGTCACTTACGGGCACCGTGTCCACTATAGCATAACGATTGGAAATTTCCAACCTTCAAGGCCAAAAATTGCCGCCTTCAGCTGGAAATGGCAAATTCAATGTTCAAGGCTTCAACTCCTTCAAGCAATCAACTAAATCAAGCCAGAAATTAAGGTCCAGGTGATGATAAGATCGGCCATCGCCGCCGCCGCTGTAATTTTCTCAGGTCAGCAATTCCAGTCCTTCATTTTCTTCAAACCTTTGTAGTTTCCGATCGCTTCTTCACCTCTCTCTCTCTCCTGTCCCTCCCAAATTGGCAGAATCTCATACCTTCTCTGTTACCTAAAAAAGACTAAAACCTCAAGGTTGAGCATTGTTCTCTTTCTATTTTGGTAGAAAATATCATTTTTTCGCATATTGGATAGGCACAAATTTGTAATCTATGAAGGCTAAGCACTGTTTATTTTCAGAGTAATTTATTCATAAAATGATGAGCTAATCACAGAACCTGCATACTTTCTGTTACAAAAGATCACATAGTTTATTGGGCTAAAAAATTTAGGCTTAGATGATTCTATTAAGCCATCCTATCATCAACAACACAAATTTCAGCTACTTCATCAGTATGATTTGGATTCATCTCAGAGCCCTCCAAAATGTTTCTTAAATTTAGGTATACCTCAAGTGCAGTAGGCCTTTCATCTGGATCAGACATTAGGCATTTATTGACAACTTCCAGAAATTTGAGAATCTCATAATCAAATCCTTTTCCTATCAGATGTTGGTGCACAGAATCACACAGCCTAGAAGTGGAGCTCCCAATGTTGCAGCTGTAGTTTTCTGGAAAATGGTTTGAATCCCTTTGTTCAACTAGCTCAAGATATAGAGTTCCAAGATCATGGACGTCTTTGTCATAGCAATCTGACTCTGGGATTCCTGTGCTGCTACTCACTAGATTTTTCCATACTGATGATTCAATGAATGGATTCACGAATTTCGCCTGCCCGAAATTGGATACTCTTGGTTCGAGGTCTTCATCCAGTAATATGCATTTCGTGGTCAAGCCGAGATGTGCCATATTGTTGTGGTGCAGCCATGCCAGCCCTCTTGCTATTCCAACTGCAATTTTCAATCTTGTTGGCCATTCCAAGATTCTCGATTGGAGCCAAGCGTGGAGGTTTCCATTTGGCATGAAACTGTATACTAAGAGTTTGGTGTTCATTTCCCAGCAGAAGCCTAGAAGTGGCACGAAGTTCCTATCCCTTATCCTTCCAAGGGTCGACAATTCAGTCAGAAATTGGTCTGTTATGCCTTTTGAATCACTGTCACGAAGCCTCTTGACAACAAGGAAACAACCATTTGGGAGACTGGCCTTGTATGTTTCTCCCATTCTCCCAGTCCCGACCAAACCAGTTTCAGCAAAATTACAAGTTGCCTCAGTTCTTCCAAATTCATTTTACTAGTGATCTTTTCCAACATGTCAATCTGCAATCAAACCAACCACTGAGAGCAGTTAGTGACCATCCGAGTCCCTGTTTTATAAACTATTTGTTGTATAGTTACTTTTCTAGTCTAGAGAAATCAATATCGGAAAAGGCAGCATGAATGATGGTGAGCAGAATCAAGAAAAGTCAAGAGAAATGATGACATACTTGGTATTGCTTGATCCCGATGTGTCTGATTAGTCTATTTGCCAATGCCTGCTTCTGCTTGGTTGTATGCATGCAGAAGCTGGAAATGACCACAGCCAAAACTGTGAAAATTGCCCATCCTTCTGCAAAGCCGCTTATGAAGCTTCTTAAATAGTGTTGATGCCTGCAAGGTTCTAACGGGACACCACACAGCCCGTCATTATTATCATAGATTTCTGGTGGAAAAACTGATCCATGCCGATCATAAAGAAGGGGCACTGGGCCAGACAGCATGTTGTTAGCAACAGAAAATGTTTTAAGCCTTTGAAGCATCCCTATCTCACTGGGAATTTGTCCTGTGAAGCAGTTGTTATCGAGCTTGAGAAAATTGAGATAGGCGAAATCTCCAAAACTGGTGGGAATTTCTCCATCAAAGTGGTTTGAAGAAAGATCAAGTGTTACCATGTAAGGATTTTGTCTTGAAACATTAGAAGGGAGTTTGCCGTAAAAGTTATTGTTGGAAAGATCCAGGAGTTGTATGGAACGGCAGCCAGCCATCCCTCGAGGAAACTGCCCCTTGAGCCCCATGTTAGGCAATGAGATAATTATCACTCTATTCTCGTTGGCATTCCAGCAACCAATTCCTTTGAAACTGCAGATAAATCCTTCAGAATCATTGTTGAATTTCCAACTTCTAAGGTTTCCCAGAGGATCCTCCAAGGAATCTTTGATTGATTTCAAGCAATAGATGTCTGTCTCAGTCGTGTTTTTGCCATCAGCAAAGCTGCCAAGCAACAACAACAACAGACCGAGAAGGGCGCTGCTGCACATACCATACATGATCACTGCTAGAAGGTAGAGGAAATATATTTATGGTTTACTTCTTCAGTGCTGAGACTAAATGCATGGATACACCACTTACTAGTCATTTATATATTACAAGTCTAAGAATGGTTCTTTGAGAATGAGACATGTTGAAAGATTTTTGGGTCTTGGTCATTACTCGTACTTTTCTTTAGTCTCATATATAGTTCAGTTGAAATGGTCAAGGATGGTAGGATTGAGTCATTGAGGAATGGGAAAATTTTCTATTTCGCCCCTTTTGACAATGCTACTATGAATGTAGGAAATGGTTAAGAAAAATAAGGCCTAAGGCAAAATCAAACAAATTTACACTACTCCATTTTCAAAGTGATACCGATGTGCTTGACTAACCCCTCTCTCTCTCTTCTTCCTTTTTTTTCCTCATGATGTCAGCCATTTGGAGTGATGTATTAGAAAATTGAAAAACCTATAAATTAGACTAATTGTATGAAATTGGTTAGTTTAGGAATTTAATTATACATCGCAGTTGTTTTAGATTCAGTGACCTAATTGCATTACCGTGTGCAATTTGATAACCTATTGACTCTTATTAAAGTATATATAAAGTAATGCTATACAACCCTCCTATATGCCCCCGTCTAACGTGATATTATCTAATTGGACAACTAAATTTCTTTTTAATAGTGATGGGTCAACTAATAAATTGACACCCAATTAGAGAAAGCCACATCAAGGGATCGTTATACCTGCACCACGGCGCGCACAGCACTGTGTGCCTCGCGCCTCCCAAAACGATGTCGTTTTGGTAAGTTATGTAGGGAGTTGACGTGATTATGTGTATTTGTTTATACAATTATGTGTATTTTTTATACAATTATGTGCATTTGTTTATACAATTATGTACATTTTTATACAATTATGTACATCTTTTTTTTATACAATTATGTACATCCGAAACAGGAATTTTATGTGTATTATGTTAAGAGTTGATGTTTATTATGTTACAAGTTTATGTATATTATGTATTATGTTAGATTATATGTATTATCGTTTAAAAAAAAGTATGTGTATTTTGTTATACAATTATGTACATTCATGTATACAATTATGTGTATTCTAGTATAAATTATGTACATTTTTGAACATGAGATTTTTTAAAAAGAAAATTAACCGCCAATACAAGGTAGCGAAATTTCAAAAAAAATAATAATTCTGAAACGACGTTGTTTTACATCAGGGCGCACAATGCAATGCGCACCCTGGTGCAGGATATAAATTGCCCACATCAAGATGGAAAAGAGCATTTTCATTTTAAATATTGCACTTGCATTTGAAAAGAAAAACAAAAAAAAAAAAAACAAAAAACAAAAAAAAAAAAAACTAGGGCCTGAATCAACTAACTAGTGCGTAGCATTAAGCCTGTCAACGAAACCTACAATCTAACTATCGTTTAAGTTCCTCAGGAACACACTACAAAAATAAGGGTCTAAGGGCAAACGTTGGGTATACCTTGATTATATTAAATCTTTAACTATGCATTTGTTACTTGATTTAGTTGTCTTGTCAATTTTAAGACTAAATACAAAGGCATTGTTTAGCAAAATGAAAAAATAGAGATTTTTCTAGAAAATAAATTATCATAGTCTAATCCAAACACTTTATGGTCCGTTTGGAAAGCATGAAAATGACTTCTGGAAAATGTTTTTTGAAAAATGAGTCATTTCCAAGCACATCCAAACAATAGAAACTTGGAAAATGATTTCCAGAACTCATTTTCCAGATTTCCAAACACACCCTTAATTCAAACCAATTACATTACAGTCCAAAGTAGTGATTCACAAATATCGACCATCAATTGTATTCGTCTAACTCTTAAAAATCAACTCAAAAGGATAACAGGAATTTTTCGTCTCTAATCAACCCCATAGTTAAAGTATAAAATTTGCTATGTTTGGAACTCAACAAGGAATAAATGGATGGAAACATTGCAAGAATACCAAGGAATGTCACATGATTACCATAATTGCATGTTTGCATAATGAAGACTAAGAGCATCTCCGACCTACACAACACCAAAACACCAAAATTTTCTCCCAAATGTCATATCTTAAGGAATATTCTCAGCATATTCTCATACCAAATTTTATTCATCTCCAACCCATTTACATCAAAACACCAAAACACCAAACTTTTACACTAAAATAATTTTATTTTTCAATTATTAGTTCGAATTTAGTTAGTTTAATGTATGTCGTATGTATTTTATCTTTTATTATGTTCTAGTTATGTTTAATGTATTTAAAATTTTAATTAATATATATTCAATATTAGTCTTGTTTCGATCGTCTCAATGAGATCTTTCAAATGGTATAATTTATATTTAATAATACAAACTTTAAATATAAGTATTTAACAAAACTAAAAATTACATATAAAACAAATAAAGGATACATATGGAATTATAAAAAAATGTAAGGGCAAAAGGGTAAAATTATTTCCTATTTCTCAATTGCCGCGGATGAACAGTGCCGCGCCATATTTGGCGCGGCACTGTTCATTAACGCCAATTAATTTGGCGTTATGGCGGAATGACAACGTACCTTGGAGTGAGAAATTTTTAATTTTTGCCGTTTTGGAGTTGAGTTTTGCGGGGATAGCGCTACCTTGGAGATGCTCTAAAGAGTGTGCGCTTTAATATTAGACCAGTTACCTGTTAATAATATTCTAATTGTTTCAATTGTGCTATAACTCTATAAATATACCAATGACATACTCACATTAGAATACAAGAATCTAAAATTCATATATTGAAATGTTATTATAACGAAATCCTTTCACAATAATATAATCATTTTCTAGCCATTTTCCCTCAGTAAATTTTATACAATTAACAATTTATCGAATATTTTTTTCTAAATAAAATTAATTAAGGATTTATTTTAATTAATTTGACAAGAAGACAATTAAATATTTTTAAAATTAAAACATTATTTATTTAATTATAATAAATTAAATATATTCGAGTAAAAATACTAGCTAGAGAAAGATTAGAGAAACAGTTGTGCTTAACTCAAAACCTAAAGTCGCCCCTCCCTCTGCTTCCTGTCTTCTTCTCTCATTTCTTTCTTTCTCCCTATTTTGAAAAGGGAATTTCCGGTAATGATAAGATCGGCCGTCGCGGCCGCCGCCGCCACGTCCACCACCATCAAGCCGCCACCTCTTCCGTCATTTTTTTCAGGTCAGCCATTCCTGTCCTCCATTTTCTTCAAACCTTTGTCGTTTTCAATCGATTCTTCGCCTCTCTCAACCGCCGAGGACTCTTCTCCATCTCCGGATCTCTCTTCTCAACTCCTCTCTCTCCTCTCCCGCCCAAATTGGCAGAAAAGCTCTTCTCTCAAGAAGCTCATACCTTCTCTGTCACCTTCTCACCTCTCCTCCTTCCTCTCCCGGAACCCCACTCTCGATCCCCACACTGCCATCGCCTTCTTCGATTATCTCTCACGTGTCCCCTCATTCAGGATCGATGTGCGGTCCTATTTGTCACTTCTGCACATTCTTATATCCCATCAGCTGTTCCGGCCCGCCGATAGAATCCGCATTTTGATGATTAAATCCTGTGAAAGCCCCGATGATGCGAAATATGTGTTGAGTTTGTTGAGGGAAATGAATAATGTCGATGATGATGGCAGTAGATTAAGATTTAAATTTAAGCTCAATGTTAAGTCTTGTAACATGATGTTAATGTCTTTGTCGAGGTTTGTGTTGATTGAGGATATGAAATGCCTGTATTCTGAGATGTTGAAGGATAAGCTTTCACCTAATATTTACACATTTAATGCTATGATACATGCATATTGTAAATTGGGTGATGTGACTGAAGCCGAGATGTATATGAATAAGATCTCTCAAGCTGGGTTGAGACCAGATGTCCATACTTACACCTCATTTATCTTAGGGCATTGTAGGAAAATGGATGTAAATAGTGCATGCAAAGTTTTTGAGGAAATGCCTCAAAAGGGTTGTCAAAGAAATCATGTTTCCTATAACATTCTGATGCATGGGTTGTGTGAAGCAGGGAGAGTAGATGATGCGATGAAGCTGTTTTCACAAATGGAGAATGATCATTGTTGTCGGAATGTACGGACCTATACTATTCTAATTGATGCTTTCTGCAAATTGAATAGGAAAATGGAAGCATTGAATTTGTTTCATGAGATGGTGGAGAAAGGTTGTCAACCAAATGCCCACACTTATACTGTTCTGATTAGTGGAATGTGTAAAGACAATAAGCTTGATGAAGCAAGAAGATTGTTAGATGAGATGGGGAAAATGGGTCAAGTTCCAAGTGTAGTAACATACAATGCTTTGATTGATGGGTATTGTAAAGTGCAAAATGTTGATGCTGCATTGGAGATAGTTAACTTGATGGAATTAAATAAGTGTAAGCCAAATGTACGTACATATAATGAGTTAATATCTGGATATTGTCGGGTGAGAAAGGTGCACAAGGCAATGGGACTACTTGATAAGATGCTTGAGCAGAAGTTGTCTCCATCTGTTGTAACATTCAATTTGTTGGTCCATGGACAATGTAGTGAGGGTCATATTGATAGTGCTTTCCGATTGCTTACATTAATGGGTGAGAGTGATCTGCTCCCCGATGAGTGGACCTATGGTTCTCTCATTGATGCATTATGTGAAAAAGGCTGTCTTGAACATGCTCAATCTATATTTGACTCTTTGAAGGAGAAGAGAATTAAGGCAAATGAAGTTATATACACTGCTCTGATTAATGGTTATTGCAGAGTAGAAAAGGTAGATGTTGCCATAACTTTGTTCAAAAGAATGCTTGATGAACATTGCTTTCCAAATATAAGCACCTATAATGTAATAGTTAGTGGTTTATGTCAAGAGAATAAGCTCTATGCAGCAACTCAATTGTTGGAAACTATGGAAGAAAGAGGTGTCAAACCCACAGTAGTTACATACAGTATTCTGATTGAGAAAATGCTAAAAGATAATGATTTTCACCATGCTTATGAGGTATTTAATTCAATGGTGTCCTTGGGATATAAACCTGATGTTTGCACTTACACTTCATTTCTTGTTGCATATTGCAACCAAGGGAAGTTGGAAGAAGCTGAAGATTTGATGTCAAAAATGATAGAGGATGGTGTCAGACCAGACTTGATGACTTACACAGCATTAATGGATGGGTATGGACGTTTGAGATTACTAGATCGCGCCTTTGATACTCTTAAATCCATGGTTGATGCTGGATTTGAGCCTTCTCCATATACCTACTCCATTTTAATCAAGCATCTGTTTCATGAAAACCAGATAGAAAAAGGTGTCAATAGGATAGAAGTTGATTCCATTAATGTTGTGGATGTGTGGAAAAAAATGGAGTTTGATACTGCTGTTAAATTGTTTGAGAAAATGGTGGAATGTGGCTGTCCTCCTAACAAAAATACTTATAATGTACTGACTTATGGGCTATGCACAGAAGGACGCCTTGAAGAAGCTTGGAGACTTGTTGATCATATGAAAAACTGCGGAATGTCTCCTGATGAAGATATATATAATACACTGGTAAAATGTTGCTGCAAGTTGAAAATGTATGATGATGCAACAAGGTTAGTTGATACAATGGTTAAGCGTGGTTTTTTACCAAATTTGGAATCCTACAATCTCCTTGTATGTGGACTTTATTATGAAGGAAATAATGAGAAGGCTAAGGAAGCCTTCTTGAAGCTTCTTAATTGTGGTTACAATAATGATGAAGTTGCATGGAAACTATTAATTGATGGCTTACTTAAGAGGGGGCATTCTGATATATGCTCTGAACTTTTAGTCATCATGGAAAAAAATGGTTGTCAGATTCATTCTCAAACACATACAATGCTGATAGAGGGACTTCTTGAGCAAACAGAAGAGCTTGTAAAAACATAATATATTAAACTATCAAGCACTTTTGATGGTTGCCAGCTCTTTTGTCCTTCTCCTATAGGAAGATTGCCGAGTAATCAGGCTACATTCAAATTCTTTGGATTTATTGCAGGTAAAATAAGATTTTTGCTGATTTGTGCTTCTTTTTCTTATTCTTTTTTGCACATGTATACTTTTATTATTATTATTATTATTATATTATTATTATTATTATTATTATTATAAATTTTCTTATATATATTTTATCTCTGTTTTGATTTGGAAAATTTACTTTTTCTCGTGATTAATCAAAAAGGTAATTTTTTTTTTCTGCTATTGGTATTTTCTGATTCCTCTAATTAACCACTATACCTGAGAGTAATTTTGCTCGTTGAGTGTGTTGTTTTGAATAGATCATTATTTCAATTGTTACATTTTTTTTTTTAAATGGCTCTTGATTCCTCATCATTATGGAGTATAGACTTTTGAATTGCATTTAACAAAACCATAAATGTTCTGCAGTATATTACATGATATTAGTTGGATGCAAGTTTGGAAAAGCTTGTGCCCTGTAAATGTATTAGGGAGAATATATTAGGGAAAGGTTTCAGTGTCACCTCTCTTGTACTTCACATTATTGGCCTACCAAGTTGATGCAAATTGCTTCTTTTGCATTACTTCAGGACTTTCCGGACTCTGTTTGTGAAAAGTAACCATAGAAAACAGAACTTTTTTTTGTTGATGATCTTAAATGCTGTAATCTAAGTTTCTCAGTATCTCTGAAATATGTATAGCCTTAATTGTGTAATTGCAGGGAAAAAGGAGTGCCCCTAGTCCCCTACTGCATGCACACAGCTTTCTAATGGATTTCAAATCCTGAACCCACCATTAGGACAGTGGATCACTAGTTTTCTCACGGGTAGGTCTGTTACAGCTTTTGATCCCTCATCCAGAGTTTTCTTCATTTGTCATATGCTTGAGATATTTTGCAGTTTTGCACCTAAGTAACTCTATCACATGATTGCCTTGACTTTAAGCAATATGCTAAATGGAAAACAAGTGCAGATTCTTGTTATAACTATTTCTGTTTAGCTAGTCAGCTATAGAGTGTTGCAACGTGTAACAGAATTTGTTGTTATCCTTTTATCTTTAGACTTACTGCGAAATAGAAATTGTAAATAGTTGTTGAAAATGTTTGCAGACCAGTGGTTTGCTAGTTCCTTTTGTGCTCATTGATGCATTTGGGACATTTACCTGCTCTAGGAAGCTGGTGATTGACATGATGGTGCCCTCATTGTTGAAAGTGCAGGGCCATGGCGATGACAGTATGACACAGCTGAATGGTTCAGATCACACAGCCTAGCAATCAAATTGTGCGGAGATCTTTTCCCTTCAATATGTTGATATAGTCTACAAGAATACAAGGTAAAATATTGATTATCAGAATTTCACTTTCTCTTCGTTTTTTGAAGTGGGTTAATAAGTTGAAAATTTCAAGCATGTTCTTTTTGGTTCTATAGTCTATAGTTGATAACTTGATAATATGTGTTGAGGGCATGAGTGAAAATTTAGCAAGTGAAGGTGCAAAAAATTTGTTTGAGAAAGTACAATGTTAATGGAATTAATCACTTAAATGAAACTACTTTGATGCAGAAAAAGCTTTTTCACCTGAGCTAAATAAGAATTAGTAGTGCAATTTTGCAAGCCTATTGATGCATACAGAGCTGTTGTAATGAAACAAGAGCATCTATTGCTTCACCTGAAGGCGGAGGGAGAGAAAGCTGCCATGTGAAGGATAGCAGACTAGGGGTTCAGGCATAGGTTGGTGCCTTGGTGGTAAACTGCACTCTATTCTAAGCAGTAGACTTGAGTGTGAATCTCACCACCTTCATCCCCTATCAGATGTACCCAAAAAATAAAATAGAACAAAATAATCTTGATAGATTTTCTAATACTTTCTGTTGTTGTAACTTGTGTATAGAATTGACTGTCTAATTGAAGTAGTCAAACATAAATAGTCAAGTTCTCTATCGTTTTGGCCATGAATGCAATGGCCAAATAGTGATGTTTTATGCCAAAATGTTGTTTTCTTGGGATGAACCTCAAAAACCCAATTTGATTTTAGATATTATATAAACACACACAGTTTGAAATTTTGAATGTTTCAGGTTATTTTATAGTTCACAAAAATCTATAATTTAAGTTCTAATGCCCATTAGTTAGGTAATTAAAATTAATAATTTACTGCATTAATTATTACTTATTTCACATATATAAAGTCTTTGGGTCCCTATTGATCGACTGGCATTCAAGAACAAAATTTTGGAATGAAATTGAAATTTTGCATGAAGAAAAAATCATCATTGGAAGTCAAAGCAACCAGATAATACTCCATATTAGCAGTGGACACAAATTTAACTATAAAAAAATTGAACTAAATTTATTTAAATTAATTGATCTAAATTTACATTCAAAATATTGACATGTTTTTAGTTTCTAATATTTGTCAAATCAAATCTTTTGGTTTGGCTTTGGTTTAATTTTTAAACTTAATGATTAAGCTGGCACCCTTGTTCTCAAGTGCTTCAAGGTTTTAACACAACCCTTGCAAGTTGCAATTCCCTCCCTCCTTTTTCCTAAAGAGGATAAAAAGAAACCCTAGAAGACCGGTTGGGTTTTTCTCCTTTAAGATGAAGAAGAAAGAAGATGAACATGCCGAGAGAAATCATCACACTGCAAGTGGAACAATGCAGGAATTAGATTGGAATGGAATTCTAGAAGCACCGCTGCCTTGAGCACAGCAACACCGAGGAGCCAAGGATGGAATTTTCTAGGACTTTTCCACTCAGGTTCACAATCTCACTTTGCCTGCATACTCCTATCTGTGTAACATGTGTATGCATGCATGTATTTATTGGTCAAATGTGTTGAGAAAGAAGATGTAGAAGAAGTTTTTATTACTTGCTTGTCTCAATGAGGAGACAATAGATAAATATATATACAGACTAAGAGACACAATCCTAATAGATACAACCCTACACAACTTCAACAGCTATATTTCTACAGACAACTTTTGTGTTTCAACACTCCCCCTCAAGCTGGAGCATGTATATCATATGCACCAAGCTTGTTACAAATGTATTCAATCCTATGACTTCTTAAAGCTTTAGTAAATATATCAGCTAATTGATTATTTGAGCCTATAAAAGATGTAGTAATATCTCCAGAAGTAACTTTGTCTCGAACAAAATGGCAATCAATTTCAATGTGTTTCGTCCTTTCATGAAAAACTGGATTTGATGCAATATGCAAAGCTGCTTGGTTATCACAAATGAGCTTCATGGACTCCTTTGTACAAATCTGCAGTTCGGTAAGGAGGTTTTTCAACCACACAAGTTCACATGTTCCAACGGCCATAGATCGATATTCGGCTTCTGCACTTGATCGAGCAACAACATTTTGCTTTTTACTTTTCCAAGAGATTAAGTTGCCACCAAGAAAGATACAATATCCAGATGTTGATTTTCTATCCCATGCACCTGCCCAATCTGCATCTGTGTACCCAATAATTTCAAGGTTTCCATGGTCTTTGTATAACAAACCAGTGCCTGGAGATTTTTTAATATATCGTAAAATCCGAATGGCAGCTTCCCAATGACTTTCACGTGGAGATGCCAAGAACTGACTAACAACACTTACCGCAAAAGAGATATCAGGTCGAGTTACAGTTAAATAAAGTAATCTTCCAACCAATCGTCTATATTTTCCCGGATCTTGGATAAGCTCCCCCTGGTCTGGTAGGAGTTTGATATTTGGATCCATAGGAGTGTCAAGAGGTTTGCAATTCATAATACCTGTGTCTTCTAGTATATCCAATGCATACTTTCTTTGTGATATGCAAATTCCTTGCTTGGATTGTGCTACTTCAATTCCCAAAAAGTATTTTAACTTCCCCAGATCTTTTGTTTCAAAATGTTGGAATAGATGTTGTTTCAACAATTGTATTCCTTCAACATCATCTCCTGTAATGACAATATCATCAACATATACAACAAGATAAATGCTCTTACCATGTTGATGTCTATAAAAGACGGAATAGTCAACTTTGCTTCGATTTAAACCAAAATTTTGCACTACTATGCTGAACCGTCCAAACCAGGCACGAGGAGATTGTTTTAGACCATAGAGAGAACGTTTGAGCTTACAAACCAAGTTACTCTCCCCCTGAGCAACAAACCCAGGAGGTTGCTCCATGTAGACTTCTTCCTCTAAATCTCCATGCAGAAAGGCATTTTTAATATCTAACTGATGCAAGGGCCAATGATGAACGGCAGCCATAGAAAGAAAGATTCTGACCGAAGCAATTTTAGCTACTGGTGAAAAGGTGTCAGTGTAATCAATCCCAAAAACCTGTGTATATCCTTTAGCTACCAGTCGAGCTTTAAGTCTATCAACTTGTCCATTGGGCCCAACTTTCACAGTATAGATCCATCGGCAACCAACAGTTGTTTTACCTTCGGGTAATGAAACTAACTCCCAAGTTCCCGATGAATGAAGAGCAGCCATTTCATCAATCATAGCCTCACGCCAACCAGGGTGGGAAAGGGCTTCTTTAACAGATTTAGGGGCAGAAACAGAAGATAAACATGTGATAAAAGCATTATATGAAAGTGAGAGATTATCATATGAAATAAAGTTGTATATGGGAAAGGGATTTCGTGATGACCTGTTACCTACACGACTTGCAATAGGAGAGCTTGTTGCCGGAACCGGGTTCGAGGGCATAGATAGCTCGAGAGATGAATCAGTTGGGATTTCATCGATTTGAACTGTCGCGGGTGGTCGAGAGCGGCGATGATAAGTGTAAGGAAAGGGGGTAACACCGTTGTTTTGTAAAGGAGGTTCAGTAGGTGAGGGACTAGGATTTCTAGGTGATGACGGATCTTGAGGTAAATGTACCTCGGTCCCTCCTTGAAAAGTAGGAACAGGAAGAACATCAGGAAAATGAGAGATGGAGGTCGGTAAACTAGACGAAAAGAAAGGTGTTGATTCAAAGAAAGTAACATCAGAAGATACATAAAATCGATGCTTATCAGGAGAATAACATCTGAAACCCTTTTGCAACCTAGAGTACCCAACAAACATGCATTTTAAGGATTTTGGAGAAAATTTATCACGCCCTGGGGTAGTGTCCCGGACAAAACAGGTGCACCCAAAAATTTTTAAAGGAAGAGTATGAAGAGGCTTATCGGGAAATAAAATATTATAAGGTATCTTACCATGTAAAACAGATGAAGGCATACGATTTATTAAATAACAGGAATGAAGGATAGCATCTGCCCAGAATTCTGGAGGGACTTTATAGTGGAGAATCATGGTGCGGGCTGTTTCAACGAGATGCCGGTTTTTACGTTCAGATACCCCATTTTGTTGTGGAGTGTCGGGACAAGATGACTCATGGAGGATGCCCGCTGAATCAAGAAAGTTAGATAAAGGAGTTGTAAAGTATTCTCCAGCATTATCACTTCGTAAAGTTTTAATAGACACCCCAAACTGATTTTTTATCTCATTAACAAATTTTTGAAGAACATTAAGTACTTCAGAACGGTTTTGCATTAAAAGGACCCATGTACAACGAGAAAAATCATCAGTGAAGGTAACAAAATATTTAAAACCAAGAATTGAATTATAACGAAAAGGTCCCCAAACATCAGTATGAACTAAGGAAAAAGGGAAAGCAGCTCTTTTATTAACACGATTAGGAAACGATGTTCTAGAATGTTTGCCAAGCTGACAGGCTTCACACTCTAGGGTAGATAAGTGAGACAAACTAGGGACAAGTCGCCGTAATTTTTTAAGGCTAGGATGTCCTAGTCGGTCATGGGCAAGGGAAGGAGGAATGGTAGCAGTGCAAACTGTAGAAGGGTGTGGGGTAGATAATCGATAAAGTCCTTCTGATTCATACCCCGAGCCAATCATCTTCCCCGAACGACGGTCCTGCATAATGACAGAATCAGAAGAAAAAGTGACCGTACAGTCCAAAGATTTTGTAAGTTGATGAACAGAAATTAAATTGAAAGGACAGTTAGGTATATAAAGAATTGAAGAGAGAGGCAAAGTAGGAAGGGGGGAAGCCTTTCCAATTGCAGTAGCCGTACTCTTGGACCCATTACCGAAAACAATAGATCGAAGGGACTTAGACTTGGTGAAATGAGAAAATAAAGATGAGTTACCAGAGATATGCTCAGAGGCACCTGAATCGATAACCCATGGTCCGCTCAGGCCAGATTGTGATACAAGGGCAGTATGAGTTCCATCAGTGTAGGCTGCAGGAGTTAAACCAGAAGCTTTGGGAGTGGCTTTAAATCGAACAAACTCTTCATACTCAGCAGCGGAAATGGTTCGAGAATTTGGTTCCCCAGGTTGAGATTGAGCAACACTTGCTTGCGTACGTACCGGTCTCCCATGAAGTTTCCAACACTGATCTCGTGTGTGCCCAGTTCTATTACAATAATCACACACTCTAGTGTTTTTCTGTCCACCACGATTGTTAGTTCGTCCACGACCACCTTGTGTGACTAGAGCAGATTGTTCGGTAGTGGATGTGTGAGTACCCGGAATGGAGGTGACCTGCAAGAGCCGTTTGAACAACTCGGTGGTCCCCGGGACAATGTTGCTTCCAAGAACTTGATTCCGGATGCTTTCAAATTCTGGACCTAATTTGGTTAAGAGAAGTATGACAAAGAATTTCTCTCGTTGGGTAAGTTGCTCTGTGGGTGTACCACCCATAGGCATGAGTGTACCAAACTCAGCAATCAAACTTTGGGCTTTGCCAAGAAAAGTTTCCATATCAATATCATCTTTCTTCAAGTTAACCAAATTGTCAACAACATTATAGAATTGAGAGACATCATTAGTGTACAGAGATTGAGCTTGACTCCACACCCCGACACATGTCTTAAAGGGCCGGAATAAAGGCAACAATTGTGGAGAAAGAGACTGCCAAAGGAGACTACAAAGTTGAGCATCTAACCTTTGCCAAACTGTCTTTTCTTTTTCCGGTATCATATCCACTTCTTTTTGCAAGTGGTCAACAACACCTTGGCCCATAAACCATAATTCTACGGCATCCGACCAAGAGTGGTAATTTTGAGAACCACATAATCTTTCAGAAGTGATTACCGGGTTTCCAGACAGATTAGGCACATAAACAGAGCTCGAAGAAGTAGATAAATTATTGGCAGGAGAAATAGTACCTGAATTATCAGAATTTCCGTCGGAAGACATCGTGACCAAAAATAAATCTGATTGCACGGAAGGAAAGGAGGAGAGCTGACGATATGATCTGGAAAATCTCGCCGGAAAAGGCCGTCGGAGATGGCCTCACGCGCCGGCGCGTGGTGTCGGAGCGCCGGCGACGCGGTGGCGCGTGGAGGAGATTCCGGCGACCGGAATTGATGGGTAATGGTCGCCGGAGGATGGGTAAGGCGGCTGTAGTACTAATTTGATAAAATATCTCACCAATAGCAAGTAATTTGAAAAATTAATTTCGAATGAACAGTAAATGTACTGTTCACCGGAAAAAAATTTTCAAATTTTGACTTTTGGCTCTTGATACCATGTTGAGAAAGAAGATGTAGAAGAAGTTTTTATTACTTGCTTGTCTCAATGAGGAGACAATAGATAAATATATATACAGACTAAGAGACACAATCCTAATAGACACAACCCTACACAACTTCAACAGCTATATTTCTACAGACACAACTTTTGTGTTTCAACAAAATGTACTCTACTGCTCATGCTGCAAGTTCTTAGGCCCATCTGGTCCCAAATTGCAATGGAATTGATTTACTGGTCTTGAATTATGCTGAATTTCTTGAGTTAGCTTCATTTGTCTGAATTTATTTGGGTTGTTCATATAGTTGATTGATATCTGATGCAAATTACAAGGTTGTAAAAGAAATGGACTTTTAATGCACTTGATTAATTTTGTGAGAGTACTAAACTTATGTTCTGCTTATTGTATTGTATGTGTCTCATGCGAAGTCAATTTCTACAACAGAATGCATACTAAACTTGTTTGGCAATGCTATATGGAGAGCTAGGATTTGCTACTTATTGCTTGTTTTTCTTATATTTGGATCTACAAGAATCAAAAGAAAGTTGTTTTTATAGTCCAATATCATCTTAGATTATGATTCAAAGACCAATACACACTGGCTCTTCTCAAATTGAGCTTAATGTTCTAAACTGACATGCATGAAATGAAACCACTCTCTTGTTGGAAAATCACAAGGCTTGAAACTTACACATAATTACACCCTTGAGCTAGAAGAGGATATATACTGTGTCTAAAGTTTTGAATACACTGTGTTTCAGGGAGGGGATAGAAAGGATGTATTTTTCTATCAAGCTGATGATCAACACTATTTTCCACAGGCTTTGTTGATGGATTTGGAGCCTGCGGTGATTAATGGTATACAAAATGGTGACTATATATGAACCTTTACAATCATGAGAATGTATTTATTGTGGATCATGGCGGAGGTGCTGGAAAGTGAATGTTATCAGGTTTGTCCCTTGTCTTTTTCAGATATCATTTTCTGGCATTAAGGGAAACATACCAGTTGTATAAACAAAGTGATGTCTATTTTGTCATTCTCTGAAAACATTATTATGTGTGGAGGAAGTAGCTATCAAAATTGACGAAAACCATCTCTGAATGTATAGTCGGTTATCATTTTTAGAATGATAAAAGACTGCTACAAGAAAATCTTCTGCCAAAATATGTCATACAGATTATTTTATCAACACCTTTTGCCATTTGGATCTCCAATTGGCTGCCTGCGTTGGCTGTGTGTGTGTGTGTGTGTTTTTTTTCTTTCCTGAAAGCATATTTTGTCTTCCTGTTGTTGCTGAATCAAATGCATTGCACTTGCTTTGAATTTATTTGTTTATTTTTTGTGTCCATTAATCACTTTGCTTTCATGTAGGTATGGGCTCATAATCACAATAGCAAGAAAAACTTGTTCAGCCAAAATGAGACAAGTGATGTGGTTTGTTCAGCCATACAACTCCCTTCTCACACTCAGAACAGATGCCTCAGTAGAATACCCTTTTAAAGCTAGCTTATAGTATGAGAAAAGTTCAACTTTAATCCTCACATTTTCAAAATTAGTTCTTGGTTTTCGAATTGTCCAATGTATCAATTTTTTTTTTTTTTTTTTTCATATTTATAAGAATTTCAATAATGCGTATGTGAGCAAAAAATTATAATGGGAGTGCTTTGTCATTAATAAGGTTTTACTCGTGCTACACTGTTACACAAACAAAATTAGTCTATGTATTTTTGTTGTTGTTCCTAAAATGTCGAATTCCTAATCCCAAGGGCTGGTTATGCTTTGGCCTAACAGAGTATCTGAGAAGATGTAAATCATGGTAATTCAGCTGAGCACAAAGGCTAGACTTTTGCTTACTGCGCACAAGGAGCTCTTTCACTTTGAGAGGTTGCTCTCACCCCTGTTGGTGAGGCTTGGTCTCGGGTTATTG